TGACCTTTTTAACAGGGGTGTATGCTGAGTATTCGTTGCAGAATCGCTTTGGTTCTCTTATCTCTCTCTTTGGCTTGTCCGCCATTTTAAAAATTTGCTCAGGAGGGCATCTGGGTTAGCGGCCGCGCCAGGCTGGAACCGACAAAAACAAATGTCCATCGCAGTGGGGAAACAGTTTGAGATGCTTCCTCAGCTAAACAAACAGAAACGGAGTTCCAGTACTGAAGTATCTTTCCAAACTGCCAAAGCCAGCAGTAAACCAACGCAAAAACCAGTTTTAGAAGAGGCTCCACAGAACAGAAATAACAGAGACGACGATGAAAGTTGTAAAAAAGAAGGAAGAGATCTGTTTTTCTGTTCAGAAGAGGGATTTGTCGAGTCCTTTCAACAATACGCATTGCTAGAAAAGCATCTGGACTGTAGTAAACACCAGTACGTCCTGGAAAAGGAAACACTCTACGACAAGGCAATGACCATGGACGCCACCAAACTGGAGCGTGGTGCTGGTGTCCTATCAGACATAGTTGATGAAGGAGCATCTATGACAGTGGAGGATCATGGCTCTATGATGCCGATGGGATGGGCTCTTAAGTAAGCAGGATTACAAAGAAAGAGTCTCACGGTGGTGCAGAAAAACTCTGACTGGAGTCTTTCAAGTTCAGTGGAGAACACACTGGGAAACAAGCAGGTCCAACGAGCGTCTCGAAGGCAATACGTAGAGTAAAGCATAGTAACGGCTCAAATATCTTCGACAAGAGCAACTATCTGACCATAAACGGATTGAGTCATTTGAAAAAAAAGCTAGGTGATGACAGTTTTGAAATTGATTCAGAGGCTAGACCTTGTTTTCCGAGGGGTTCATTGACTTTACAAAGAAAGATGGTTTATGTGAATTATCACCGTAGAATATAGCTGAGGATATGAAATGTAAGAATTGATATTGAAACTAAAAAGAATCGTTGGTTTGAGATGTTCAGTAGCCATGATTTTCCAGCCACAGAAGTCCGTACAGGTGAACTTCCGCTCTCAATTCCAGAAATGAAAATTGGTCACGCAACCGTTAAGCGGTTTTCTTGCAGCATACCGTAAATACATGTTCGGCGAATCCAACTTGCTGAGAACGCCCAACTCCGTCCGCAAGGAAAATGTAAGTTGTTATTATACTCTGAAAATGTGAAAGTCTTAATACGCTGGTAAAGAAGGTCAAATGAGCCTTTAATTTCATTATTAAAAGATTTGATTCTTCCCCGAAATTGTCACAGATTCATAGACAGCTCGTTAAATTGTTTGCCTTTGGTTTGCTTATTGGTTCGAAACTGATTTTGGAGGAAAGACAAACGAAAATCACTTTTTAATCTGATCTCTGATCTTAAATTCAGAGCTAAGGTCGGGAAATCTTCACACCAAAACATCTCACGCCCGGTCTTCACGTTGGCCTGTGAACAAACATGACAGCTGTGTTATCTTTAAAAATTATCTTGCAATTTGATTGAAATTTGCATCAAACAAAGTGACAGCAGAAATAAAATCTGTCTTTGATTTTTAAAACATGTTTTTTACGTCAATCCCGCTTTTGATTGAAAGCTGTCTTTNGAAATCTGTAAAAGGAAACAAAAGTGCACATATGTAGACGTCTTACAGCTGTGCTGTTGGGTGGTGGGGATGTATATATAGTATGCGACATCTTAAGGTTTGCATCAGAGGTGTGTTTCGTACTTATTGTGTCTTCCTTCATCTTAACTGGCAAAATTAGAGAGGCGAGTAAAGAGGTTTCATTAAGCATTGGTCGCAGAGAAAGCGACCTAAGAGCCTCAACTCAGCGCTGCTCGTGGTGGAAGGGGAGGGGCGGTGTTCATCGCTCCTTTAGCTATTGTCCGGTGAAGACGATTGATGGCCTTTTATGCGTGAAAACCTATTTGTTCCAGGAGTGGTGTAAAATTAAAAATGCGCGATGAATGGCCGATCTCGTGTTTAGTAAAGATACGGTGGTCAGAGAGAAATTGGAAGACGAATTCAAATATGATGAAAGACGCGGCTTCCTTAATAATATTTCGTACATGGCTGATTTTTGGATCAAATCCCATGGACCGTCTGAGAATAAGATTAACTTGCCGAAAGCTCTTTTTAGAAAGTTGGGATCAAAAAACTGAACGCATTTAAATCGGAGACACTGCAGAGGGTATTGTGTGCAGGAACAGCTGGAAGATCCAATCAGGGTAGAGATTAGGGCAAAAGATTACTACCTTGAGTGATGTAAACTGCTGTCAAAGATGTCACGAATACCATCAACCGCTTTGAACCATATAATGTGCAACAAGCGATTTTATTAAAAAAATTATAATGCCTACCAGCCTCTCAACAGCACAATCATTCCGGCCTATCATTTACAATCACAATTACTGTTATCGTGAGCTTGGGTTCAAGATTACCAGAGACCCCTCCAAGATAATGATCTGACAAGGTTAGCCATAAGAAAGCTCACGCCCATTATGAGGGGGTTGCAGGGACAAGAGATCAGACTCCAGCTGTTCGTGGGTTGTATAATGCTACTCACTGGATAAACCTCTATCCGATGGATAGCGCAGCACATTTGTTAATTGGATAGTGATTTATCCGTTGGATAGCGTTATCTGCCCTTTGAACGACTGGGCCTAGAGGTTCTAGGTAACGGTGCTCGATTGAATTCAACAACAAAATTATTAATTACATTATGTCTGTGACTTAATGTGAGCCCCTACTTGCTTCTTAGCAGTCATTGTATCGACTTGTTCCGCAATCGGGAATGAAGTTCAGATACGTTTGGTTAACTTCGGCTACAAAAACATGACTCCTCTAAACAAATGATCATAATAACGTACCCTGTTTACTGCAAAATATTGCAAGGTATCGCGATCCTGCCATAGTTTGAAGCACAAGAGAGACACCTTACAAGGCAGTAAAGTCGTCTTACTTTTACAGCCATTTAGAGTTTGGCCCTCAATCAAAAATGCGTAGGTCTTCGGACCTCGAGCTTTTCATGTCTTCTACAACGATATTTCTGTTAGCTTGCTTCAGGCATTAATTGCCACGAAACTGCTGGGGATTTCAATCAACCGCCGAGACAGTATTTTCACACTAGACACTAGACGTAGAGTTGAAATTTTGATAGGTCTAAATCAATCCTATTTTCTCTTTTTTCATATTCTAGTTTGATTTGTCCTCGACGGTGGGATCGCGATACAAAACTTATTCGATTTTGTTTTTACAGCAATATCTTATTAACATTGTTAATGCGCTATGCCTTAGTCGATATAAAGATTAAACAATTCTAATTGCGGATCTTCAGTTTCTTGCGCCGCAATTCAGCTTTCCTTGCAACAAAACTACAGAGTGTATGGTCTTCGTGTCCGATAACATTTCACAACTTGAGCGGTGGAAATAATTTTTTTAGCTATGCTCAATCGTCTCACACGAACGAATTCCGCTTAAAACAATTATAAGTCTATACTAAATCAGTGGATAGTGTTCAACGAATTCCGCTCAAAACAAATATTAGTCTATACTAAATAAGTAGATAGTGTTGAACAAATTCCGCTTAAAACGAATATTAGTCTATCCTAAATCAGTGGATAGTGTTGAAGGCGCCATGTGATTGGCTACTCAAACTCCGAATATCCTTTGCTATTCACCGCCGAGCAGCTAGCACAGGATTGCGCCCAAATATATTGTATTCGTTGCAGGAAAAAGCCAGTTAAAATCATCTTTATCTCATAGTTTCAGTATACACTAAACCAACTATTATACTCAGTGTAGGTGCCTCGCGGGGAATATTTACCTCGCCTCTACACAGCTCGGTAAATATCCACCACTTGCCACTTCTACCTCGGGCGAATAGTGACATTGCTAATACGGTGCAAAAAAAGGCAGCAAACTCTTGACCGCCAGTTGAACCTATTCGCAGCTATAAAACCTGATTTACTGCAAGAAACATCAACTTATCAGCTTACTGTCGATCTGTTATTCTGCTAGCGCTCCTACCATCATAGCTCCACAAAACGGTTTTAGTTTTTGATTGTGTCAGTTTGTATTTTTGCATAGCCAACACAAAAGATACTAAAATCAATCTATGTTTGCCACGTCCACTCTTTAATAATGAAGAGAAGATGTTCTGTTTCGTCTAGAAAGTATTTCTCCTTCATCTGTGATTACAAAAATTAAATCCTACTATGGTGAAACTGATGATCTGTCTCTATTTTTTGTTATGCATATCATCTCTTTGCTAAAAACGGCTTAGGTGACATCACCGTATATAACGCATTCCGCGCAACGCGTTAAGAACAATAATCCTGTGCGCTCTGGTGACCACATGAATACGCACAGTGGCACATTCAAATGGACTATTTTCAAAAAATAAATGGACGAAGTTAAGGCTTTAATAAACCACATTGTGACGAAATTCGAACTGAAAGTGTTTCTTACTAAATTTCTAACGATTTGATCTTTCAAATTAGCTATCTTTACTTACATTTGACCGATACAGAACCATATTGTTCCTAAAATCTATCTCATCTATAACTGGATTTTATATCAAACGAGTCCTCTATACCAATAAAATAAAATAACACTAATCGTGTCTTAGGACTTACTAGCTAACTTACCGAAAAAGATTACCTTACGCTTTATATTTACATGTACACAATAAACAGTACCAAAAGGTTTTCTCATGGTAGCTGTTCAAGATCATCAATTATTCCCTCCATACTCGGTCTCGCCTCAGGCTGGTTTGCAAGAATCTCCGGATGGGAGCTCGAATCACGCAGTTTGATACAAGTGCAACTTGCTGTTCACGCTTTTCAGGGTGTGGCATTTCCTGGATCGACATCTCACAAAGAAAAACGCCAAAACTATCGATATCAACCTTGATATTGGAAAAAAGCTCTTACTAAATCAAATGATATTAACCATAATAGCGGACGTTATGTAATGTCCATGATGATGACGATGATGATAACTCGTCTCAAATAGATTATATCGTGTGACAGATGGAGGAGAAAACAAGTGAGATCTCAAACCATAGAGTAGAAAAATAAATTGCACCGTTATGAGAGGTGGGAACTTTGTGAACAAGTGCCTGTTGCTTTCAGAGAGGCTATACATAATGTACTGCATGATACTGTAATCTAGCGTTAAGTGAATAAAATTTGTGGATAGACACTATTGACAGTGGGTCATTGTAGAAAAAAACAAACATTCAAGGAAACATACCTTAACGGTTTGGTTTTTAGTGACTGCTTCGGGTGCACTGTAAATTGGCGCTCCAGGTGCAACTGTCATGGTATGTCGAATAAAATTGGCTGTGCCATAAACTGAAGCCTTGGCTCGCCATTGGTCACCCTGCCGCCCAGCAACACATTTGCACTACTGATGTCCCGGTGAATGATGGGAAGTGGTTGCTTCTGGTGAAGGTAGTTTAGTGCTCGAGCTACATCCAGGGAAATAACGCTCACTTCAGTGGCGGAAAGTGGTCGCTTTAACAGTGCTCGTAAACTCGTTTCCATGAGCTCTGTAACAAACAATGGACTTCCCTCGTCATTTGTTGCCCCAATGAACTACAACAAACATGGATGACGGCATCTTGAGGCAATGTTCATTTCTCGCTCAAACAAACTATGGTTGTGGTTAGAAAGAATTAACTCGTGAATTTGTTTCACAACTACGACACACCCACAACACTTTCCTTCCACAAAATTTCCCCAGCCTCCCTTCCGAGGCATATATCTGTTACCTGAATCCAATCGCATGAAATGATCCAGTCCGGTGACTCTTGTCGTAGACGTTCACTTACCGCTAATTCAGTTGAGCAGTTGAGAGACTCATATCGTGCTCAATGACCTGATTTTGTAAACCAGCAATTTCTCTACCTTTTTCTTGTAGTTGCCCTTGAATATTGGCCAGTTGCTCAGTCATTGCTCTTTGTAAGTTTGTCAGTTGTTCCTCCATCCTCCTGACTTGTGCTTCTGAGCTCTATAACTGATCATGGTTCTCTTGCAATTGTCCTTGAACGTTTGTCAGCTGATCCTCCATCCTACTCACTTGTGCTTCTGAGTTCTCTAACTGATCATGCTTCTCTTGCAACTGTCCTTAAGCGTTTGTCAGCTGATCCTCCATCCTACTCACTTGTGCTTCTGAGTTCTCTAGCTGATCATGCTTCTCTTGTAACTATCCTTGAGTGTTTGTCAATTGTTCCTCCATTACCCGCAACTGGCCCAGTAATCTATTATCTTTGTCTTGTTTTTCCCTTAGCAGGCTGCCTTTTTCCGAAGTTTCTCTTCCTGTTGTGCTTGGAGTTGTGTCACCTGCTGCTCCATCTCTCTCAATGGCTCGAGTAAACTCTTTGATCGTTCGCTATTTTCCCTTGGTTTCTTTCGCAAGCTACGCAGTTGACTTCCCATGTCTCGTGACAGTAGTTGCTTTCCTTTAGGGGAATGAAAAATATAAATGACAAAATGGGAAACCTCTGAATGCAGGGAATCCGTACACAACACAGGGCACCTAAGTTGCTACATGCCGCGGACTCCTTTCTGGAAATATTATCAGTAACTGGCTGAAAAGACTCTCCCTAGTGCATCTTTACAACTCATTGATCTTGTAAACCGGGTTGAATTCACCTTCATGAATTCGCTGTGATGTCTTCAAAGTTTCCTTCCAAGCGACAGGGAAGGATGTCTTAGGAGGAATCTGGTCAAACAATTTCTTCATTACAGAGCGAAAACAATTTTTGTCCAGTCAATAAAGGAATTCCGCTTATACGTACTGAATTAAAATGAGGGAAACGCTAGTTTAGAGCAGGTATTTTGAACAAGGTGCATGTACTTGGATCATTTTATGTTTAAAACTTACCAAGTGTTTTCGTCAGCTAATTCCAGTTTGACCACAATCATCTGGAGGAATGCTTTGGAAATGATCTTCTTTGAAGTACGAATTTTCGGCACTGTCCTTCCCTTCCTCATCTTGGATGATGACTCAGTTATCTTGGTGATCAGGCACACCTTTACCCTCAAACTCTCTAAGCATCAGGCGTTGTTTCTCTATAAATTCCTGTAGATCGGTTTTTTGCTGGATTCTCCAGCTCCCATTATGATTTATGTTTCAGCAGAGGTCATTGCATTTGTTCTTCTTAATTTCCTGACAGATTCCTTACTAGTACGTAAGAAAAACATATAAAATAAATCCACTGTGTTTTGCTCACCACAATGCTTCAAGCTATGTTCTATACATTACAATGATATATTTATCCCTAGATATCTTCCAATTTAAAAAATGTTTGACAATTAATTTGTCGCAAACCATTTATACTAATACTTCTACCTGCAACAGACCTTTTATACAAAATGTCACAACAACAGGGTTAACTTTAAATGCTATTCCAATTTCGCCCATAATTTCACATCACTTTTGGCAACCTTTCATAATGGGAATTCTTCCAGTGACAGATCAGAAATTCGTGAATTGCAGTGCACCTTACCATAACATCATTCAGGAATTTGGTTCTCAGTGCTAGAAAGGCTGCTTCATATCTTCACACCAGTGACGTGATCGTCGTAGTCGCAACCACAATCGTAAAAGTAGTCACAAGAGTGTTACGACTTAGTGTTAATCTACAAACCGAAGCGCGAAGAAAGCTTCCATGTTTGTTCCCAGGCCTTTTTTAAGAATCAACAAGGCACCCGAACATGAACATATGATTATATTGCTTCTTTGAACTTTCATAAGGAGTTGAAGGTGACTTATAAGTGAAAAGAGGACAACAAATTCCCATGCTTGTCTTTTTATCTTTTCATCTTTGAAATCTCACCACGATTCATCTTAAAGACCTGGATATTTTCTGACGCCATCCGCCAAACACTCGTCTTTGAAGGTCTCCATAACGGTTTGCATGATCCTCATGGGGAACACTTGTGGCAAGAAACGTGATTGGTTCGTTCCTGCAATTATGCTTTTGATTTCTTTGATGTAGTTCACATTAGATTTTAAGAATTGTAATCGTAAGGAAAACAAAGGATTCTGATCCTTACGACTGAGATTGCAACTCGCTCTTACGACTAAGATTACGTCTGGGATTTTTGATAGACGCCTGGTTTTAATTTTTCTCATGACTATGATTATGATTGCAGTAATTACGATTGCGACGGTAATACAAACTGACCTTAAAATGTGCAATGCAATGGTATACAGATGATTTCAAATCTTAAAATCCCCAGATCTGATCGTCATTCTTCCCTCTAGCAGCTACTCATTTCGAGAACTTGACGTTAGGTTACGATACAACTTCTACCAGACAAGTTGTAGTATTCTCATGTTGGGTAATGTAGAATATAAGTGGTAGAGGTTACCTGTGAATCATTTCTGGGCGTAAAAGGGTTAATTAGCTTTTTATCAACAAGTAGTTTTCAAGCTTCTCAACCTCTAAATGTTCGGAGGATATTAAGTGAGAGAAACATGAATTGTGTCTGGTGAACGATTTCGAGATAAAGGAAACGAAACGCATTCCTGCATTTATCAACTGTAAACTCGCCCTGATGGAACGCTTTTGAAGGGACAGTACGGTCTAGAAAAAGTTTACTTATATCAAAAGTTCCTTGCTTGTATTGTCCTAACTGGCCATTCATTTGAGCTAAAAGCGTTTTAGTTGCGAACAATTAAGTTCCAAAAATCGGCATTTTCAAATTGAAATCCGCCATCTTTGTTATGACGAAACTGTGACGTAGCAATGGTCAAGCGCGCTAAATTATATCCCTGCCGAAATGGATGTAAACAAGGAAAGCAGCGGCGAGGAGAGCGCAACTCATTGAATTCTCCACTTAGATTTTAATCAAGCCGAGAGGGTGTGATGCATCTATTTATGTTTCAAACGAAACATGCTCGTCTTCAGGGGAAGGAGATACCTCTGTTGGGGAGAAAGAGAGAGAAAGTTAAGAAAATGAAGCGGAAAGGAATTGGCGCGTTGTTGTGCTGCTGTTTCTATTTTCTTCATTAAATGAAGAAATTTTCTGGTCGTCAAGCTGTTTTTCTTCGTTCGATTCATCTAATGAACTTGGATCTATATTTGCCAGCCATTCTGACTCTTCGTCGTCGGAAATATGATTTAAATTGTCCGCCATTTGTTTTTTTTTTTCGTAACTACAATCCAATTCTTCGCTTGCGCGATGCGAGAAAACCTGTTTAACCGGTACTACAATAGACGAGTACAAACACCGCGTGCTATTTGTACTCGTCTATGGCGTTATTTGTACTCGTCTAGGTGTAGTTGGATAATAATAGCTTATATCTGTCACAAAGGAGTTTTATATTCGTAAAAATATCAGTTAATTTGTAACCTTGTAATAATAAAGGCTGACTTTTTCCCCAACATTGCTTCTAGTCATGGTTTGTGATTTAGGTTGTGTAGAGAGTTCAAGGGAAACCCATCGGTGTTTAGATGGTACTCTGTGGCTGAGTAGATGGCCCCTGGGAACAAATAAAAAAGACAAAACAAAAAAAATTCAACACTAAAGGGTTAGATGGCTTGAAAGGAGAAAGGTATTCTGTTGAACCTTATCCCAGGCTTAATTAAATGCACACTAAATTCACCCTCGAGAAAGAGGGTCAGAAATAACTTGACAACTACTTAACAAAAAACAACAACTTAGAAATAACTTAACAACTACTTACAAGCAGCTCAACTCCAAACCAAGTTCCCAGATTGGGTGGTAATTCACCTTTGAGCCGGACAACACCAGGTAAAGTCTTTAATATTTCTTTCACTTCAACGAAAACTGCACTTCTGGGTGACAATCGTCCTCCAAATGCCAAACGTTTCCCACTTATAAATATTTGGTATCTTCCTTCAAATGAAGAAATGGTCAAATGCAAGTTGGCTTGTTCTCCAGATCAATCAGATCCTCTGTGCGACATTCAATACGTGATGATTTACGTCCAGTTCCAACAACAGCCACTTTAGTTAGGTCTGTAGGCTGTTCAGCCTTGGAATCACGTTCAAACTAATCGCCTCGTAACAATTGTATTGGTATAGACTTCGACGTAAGGCCGCGCCAGCTTTTTTCAAATGTATATCCGAAACGATCACGTACAAGAATATACTTAATATTGGGTTCTTCCATTTCGAGCTGAGGCCACAGGAACGATCATTTCACCTTCACTGTAAACAAACCATGCACTGACCGCGTTGGGTGGGGAGAGGAACGCCATCTTCCTGAATCTTATGAAAAGAAATCATGTATTTACCCACCAAATGTCCCACTACACATAATTTACGTAGTTGTATAAGGATTATGTATTCACTGACCTCTATATGCCCCCTCAAAATCCAACAAATATTTTCGCTTGCGCACGATAAGCCAAAACTCATCACGTGACCAAATATCCCCAACTAGTCTGAGGGATATCCGAGGATACGCCTTAAGTGATAATCCCCAATTTTCAAACCTTACGTTCATTACGAAAAATTTTGCGTTTATAAGTGTAATTCAAGATAAGAAAGCGTTGTGTGATCGTTACAGAAGAAGGAACATGTTGTTTTGTTCATAAAACGGTATCAAAGAACACTGAAAAGTGAAAATTCAACAGCGTGAACGGTAAGCTTTTTGAAAACAATTTCCCGCGCGTTGAAAGATATTTGAAGGATAAACACAACAGCCTCCATTTGGCGCGAAAATATGCATCTCACATCCACCTTCACCTAACTTCATTTACCTTCATCTACATTCATTTACATATATCCACCTTCGTTTGCCTTCGTCTACCTTAGTATACATTCATTTTCCTTCATTTATACATACATTCACCTTCCTTTACCTCTATAAACCTTCATTAACCTACATTTACTTTCATTTGCATTCAATTACTTTCATGTGCATAAATCTCCTTTTAATCTGCCTTCTCTACCTTTATTTGCATTCATCCACTTTCATATACTTTCACTTGCCTTAAAATATAATCTAGATTCATATGCGTTCATCCACCTTAATTTCCATTTATCTATCTTTATTTGCATTTATCTACTTCTTTTTACCTTCATTCCGTAGTAAATAATGTTATAAATATGATGAGATTTCGATTTTGGAACAAGCAATCCAACTTCTAATGTAACGATTATATTCTATATGTACAAATCTTGAAATAAATAAATGAAATACATAAATAACACGCGTGTTGATTTTTGGTCGTTCTTTTACATAACCATTTATCAGAAAACACTCACACTTTCTCTCCATGAGTGGTACCAATAACCTACCCTGGCCCATGTACTACATCCAATAAAGACGCCTCCTTTGAAATATCATCCTTTTCTCTTCTACGTATCCTCACTCATTCGATGAGGAGAGATCGCAATATATCTTTGGTTCAGGGGTCTATAAGAGATACGACAGAGTTCCCGTTCCTGTTTGCATTTCGTGATAAAATTACGTAGAATATTTTCGAGGCAACTAAATTTAAACGTATAATTTTGATTTTCTCTCTAAAGGGGGAACGGCACCAAGCGTACTCTCCTTCGCAACCGTCTCGTCACGCAACTCGCTCTCCCTCTCCAGCGGGGAAGAGACAGGGCGTTGCGTGATGACACGAAACAAAGGCTGAGAAGGAGACTACAGATGCATTTTATTTTTGCTTAAAAATATTCATACAACAGAGACAACAGACCACAAAATACCTGTGTGAGTTTATTTCAAACGGATTAGATTTTATTCGCTCTAAAGTTACGGTGAAGTAATGCAATATTTTTGCTTTTTTGTAAAGTTATGCTGTTTTTCTTTTACAAAAATGAAAACACCGGTTGCACAAATTGTCCAATCTATCCAACAAAAAATAACTCTTACGCGCGTAGCATACTTATGTTTTCCTTTAAGTTTTATGCACCAAAGTCGCCGTGTAAGTGCTGGAAGCAGGTTCTAGCAACCTAACCAGTCCATTTTCTTTCTTTACGCAATAGTTTTATTGAGTAGTTTTCAAAACTTCTAAACCCCTTCTGCTATGAAAACAGAGCAGATTTACGGGGCCGTTAAGTTACTGGTTCATTCGGGAACCGGGCCCCTGCCTTTCGGATTACCTTGTACCACTGAGACTCTAATGAGAATCCATCAGACAAACAAGGATCAGACAAGGATCAGATTCCGTTGCATCTTAGCTGATTTTGCTTTGCCTAACAGATTGTCCTAATAAGACAGCTAAAAGCTAACCTTCTCGAACTGTAAGTTTTACTCGTCTACGACTCCATTTTCTGCTGAATATGACTACGATAGACATCAAAAGCTTATACAACGTTATCGTGACTATCAGTATTCAAGTTATCGATCTATAACTGTACAAAGTGAAATTTTAAGCTTTTAAGTGTCATATACTTATCACAACATGCTTTCAAAGCTGATTTTTCTCACTTTCTAAGCGATGGATAAATCACTCCAGATTATTTGAAATACTTTATTTCTGCTGTAAATGCAAATATCGTTTTCTTGAAATTATAGTGTTAGAAAACTTTTCTATTGTCTCAAATGAAGAAACAAACTTACATAGACGCGAGCGAGGCTAAGAAATATATGTTTACAAACAATAAGTATGGGCCCGAAAAATTTCATTTGTTAATTTTTCCTTACCTACACTTCTCCCGCAAAACTGTTATGTACAGAGACGACTGGCAGTTCCACACGTGTTTTACACGTGCATTTCATGCGGTGTAGAGCTATTAACTTGACTTTCTGTTAAACAAGCGGTTAGTCCTCGCATGATCTACGTATCAACGTGATTCCAATGTGTTGCATTTCACCAGGTTTAACTGTACATTGTCATGTCCAATCTCTGGTACATACAGAGATATCCATCTCCTAGCAGACTACGGACTTTTACAGGCATCTCGCCTCTCTCCTTTGCTGCAATTATTTCCATGGGAGTTTTCGAGAGCCATTCTAGTGCTTCAGGACAACGTTTCATAGCAGGGATATTGTAACCATTTCTTCCTCCTGAAAAGCAAGGCGGTAAAAAAGTAAACAGAGTAAGGGATGTCCAAAGGTTACAAGTACTGGTATCCATTAAACTGTTGGCACGTAATTGTTTGATCTACAACACTGAACTCAAGAGCCCTAATGATATCATGCTATGCCTTTGAAAAAGTAACATATCCAAATCAAATATCCTAAATATAATATATACCAGGATTGAAAACCTTACAGTAAAATAGAAACGAGGGTAGTCAACATGAGACAGGGACCAACGGGATCAGTTCAGATGACATCTGTGTTATCGAAATGACAAGATATTTGTTTTAGTTTCTGTACTTTCGCTAGTGATAAATCAATTAGGAAGTGACAACTACAAGACGTGACAAATTTAGTATGATTTCAGAGCTGAGCAAAGAGTTTCCAGCAATCTGATTGGTCGAGCGGTTCCTTATATGACGCTATATATAAACCGCTCCACGCGGTTTATATAAAATATTAAAATAAAATGTTAATAAATGTTACTAAAATGTTATGATTTTAGAAATTTCT